CCCCGAAGCAAGCTCCAGGCCAGCCAGAACTGCAGTGCCAGAGCCTGTCTACAAACACAAGTCCAGCCAGGACCCCGAAGCAAGCTCCAGGCCAGCCAGAACTGCAGAGCCAGAGCCTGTCTACAAACACAAGTCCAGCCAGGGCCCGACAATGTCTATGTGTTTCATTATCCGGCGCCACAAGACCATGATTTTCATCAAAGCCTAGGAGTCGAGCACCTTGTTGGAGCTGAAGTGCCTGGTGGAGAGCCTCCTGCAACATCCATCCGAGCAGCAGAGGCTCTACAATAACAACGGAAAGACGCTGGGCGAGTATGATTTCACCAGCCAGACAGTATTCCCACGCTCCAGCCGCAGTGGGCCTGATCTTCAGGACAGATGCTGCCTGCAAAGCCCTTTAGATTCAGTCGTCCTCCAGCCCTCCTGAGTCGCAAGAGTAGGTGAAGCCAAAGGACTGTGTAGTGAGGGCCCAGACCCACCCAACAGGTCCATTGCCCCCCAATGGAAGAAAAGGCCTAATGGAGGACCTGAATTGAATCCCTGGGAACCACCTGAAGGATCCTCTGACTACCCCAAGTGCTGTGCATGCCCTCCCCACCCCATAAATAAATGTTTTTTCAAAAAGAAATGTGATTGGGCCAAAAGTATCTGATTCAGTGCCCATAGACCAAGTGGAGACCCAGGGAGGGCTATCCAGATTCTTCTTGGCCTCTCTGTATAGCATTTGTTCCTTCTGGATATGTGGCAAGGCACTTTCTGAATTGAAGGTTTTAGGCTCTACCATCAGACAAAGTAGATCAGAAAATTCCTTTCTCACCAGCTCTGAAATAAAGTCAGAGTAAGAGTAAATAATGTGCTTGTTTTGCATGATCCACTTTGGGTGAAATTCTAGTTTCTGTAGCCTTCCCTGAAGATGAAAAGTGCAGGTAAAAGAGGACAAGTGAAGGTCAGAGAAAGAGCTTGCTTTCTGAGATCTGAAGCACCCCAACATTACAACAAAGAGCTTTTACCTTTATCACCCTGAAGCTGTTTCCAAAATAACAAGAATTATGGATGAAAACCAAAAGAATTTATACCATATCAGTTTCTAGCATTAAAGGCACCAAGTACTTGGGTTATTGCTATCATAAAGGAATTTTGGGTCTCATGTTAAAATTATGTATTTGTGTGTGTGATACTGAGTGTGGGTGGGCCTGTACAGGGACAACTTTTGGGAGTGGGTTCTCCTTTGACTGTGGGTTCAGGAATCCAGTTACCGGGCAACTAACAGGTGCTTTTATCTGCTGAGCCGTCTTGCTGAACCTCATTTTTAAGTTTTTTAATGCCATTTAATAGGAAATCATTTTTCAGGTCTTCTAGTTAAAGCTGAATGATCTATAGTTAATTTTAAATTTTTAACTGTTCTATTTTTTGTACCAGGTAATTCTTCTTTGAAGAAATCACAATAAGATCTCTGGTTCAGGATGTTAAAATATACATTTGTCTTATCTTTTTCTTTTTTTCTTTTTTCTTTTCCTTTGGTCTTTTTGAGACAGGGTCTCCCTGTAGCCCCAGTTAGCTGGGAACTCACTATGTAGACAGGCTGGCCTTGAACTCACAGAGATCTGCTTGCCTCTCCCTCCCAAGTGCTGAGATTAAAAGCATGTGACATTCACAGCTGTCTTACCTTTTTCTTAAAAGTCCACTAAAATGGCAGAAAAATATGAAAATATAATAAATCCATCATAGCAATGAAAATAGAAAATAAGAGCATCAGAAATTTTCAGACATTTATTAAAGTTGGAAAGCAAATGGTGTTCCCGATTGATGGAGATGCCTAGGTACAGGAAACAGGCTGCAGAAATGGCCGCAGGTGAGACTAGCTGCCAACATGAAAGCTGGTCTTCGTGAAGCCCAGGTGAACAAGCCAGGTGTAATTAGCAAGTGATTAAATGGAAGACTACTTAACATATAGTTAGGCTAGTCATTGTTTTTCTTACAGAAGTGGTTAATTATTAAATTGCCTCTATATTACAATAGGATACCCAATATTAAAAGGGGATAGAAATCTGCCTGGGCTAAGGGTAAAGGAGAAATTCTACGGACAACTATTGACATGAAGCAGAAACAAATCAGACTTCAAATTCATTCCAGCGAATGTTGCTCAGCATTTGGCCTGGTATGCACAGGCCCTAGAATCAATCCCCAGCACTGGGAAAAGAAAAATAGCCATGTTCTGAGTTCTGTAATTCCAGAACTCAGGAGGCAAGGAGGCAGGAACCTACCTAGGCTACAAAGTAGAGAACATGTCTCAAAAAGGCAAAAAAAAAAAAAAAAAAAAAAAGAATTCTATACCCAATTAGAATTGTTTCTGTTGTTGCTGCTGTTGTTTTGTTTTGAGACAGAGTCACATGTAGCCTTCAGGCTCACTATGTAGTCCAGGCTGACTCCTGCCGCCTAACCTCCTGAGTTCTGGGATTACAGGTATGTGCCACCATTATATGGCACTGGGGTAGAAAAACCGTATCAAATCCAGGGTTTCACAGATACTAGGCAAGCACATACCAAATGAGATACACCCCCAGTCCCCCTACCCCTTTTTTTCCTAAAAGGAAAGTTCTTTCCATATTGAAGAAAATACCAACCAAAATAAAACCTTCCTTCTGTGATTGTCTTTAAAGTCTCTTCTGTACCCTGTATGCATGCTGAAGGATGGACTCTTGCAGACATGCCCTTCACAATCATCTCTGCTGCTCATGAGAGAGATGTGTTATAGAAACAGACTTAGAACTATTTAGCTTCTACCAATCTAGTTTTTAATAAGTATGTATAGGCAGTCATTTTATAAATGCCTAGAATGGGTTTGATAAAAATTTGGCTTGTTTATTTTTAAGACAGGGTCTCACTATATATCTCATGCAGGCCTTGAACTCAAGGCAATCCTCTGCCTCCTGAGTGCTGGGATTAAAGGTTTATGCCACCACTCCCAGTGGGTTAGAAATATAATGACCACAGGACAGCTGGGGCTACAGGGGAGACCCTGTCTCAAAAAGACCAAAAAAAAAATTTTTATAAAGGTAAAATGGCATGAAAGGTAAAATAGCTTGATAGAACATCAAAAACTTATATTAAATAATATACTTAATAGTGAAACATTATAATCATTCCCTTTAAAATGAAGGTCAACATGGGTTCCCTGGCCAGTCATTCTAGCCAATAGGTGAGCTCCAAGTTTAGTGAGAAACCCTGAGTCAAAAAATAAAGTGGCACCAGCAAGATGGCTCAGTGGGTAAAGGCACTTACTTACTGACCATTTAAGCTCAATCCCCAGGACTCACATGGCAAAAGGAGAGACCCAACCCCCACAAGTTGTCTTCTGACCTCACATGAATACTGTGGCATGAGCACATCAGTGAATCCTTGTGCACACACACAATAAATGATAAAAAAATAAATAAAGTGGACAGTGATAGAGGAAGACACCAGATGTTGACCTCTGGCCTCCACATACACATGCATAGGTACACATGCTCATACATAACATATGTACCACACACACACACACACACACATAAAAGGAAAAATGAAGCTCAAGGCAAGTAAACATGGAGTATTTGGGATAGTCTAACAATACTAAAGGAGCAGGAAGAGAAATGAGAAGGGAAAATATTGCAAAAGAATTAGTAAAACTGGGGGGTTAGAGAGATGGCTCCGTAGTTAAGAGCATTGGCTGCTCTTGCAGAGGACCCAAGTTTGATTCCCAGCACCCACATGGTAGCTAACAACCATCTGTAACTCCAGTTCCAGGAGAATCCATTGCTTTCTTCTGACCTCCTCCAGCACTGCATGACATGGGTGCATTTATACACATGCAGGCAATACAATCAAACATAAAATACAAATATTTTTAAAAGGTGATATTTTATCATTTTGAGGTGGAACAAAGATATAAAAGTGGATCCCATAAATTGACTACATAAAAAAGGTAAAGTCCTTTATGATTGAAATGGCAGTAGGAGCAACCAGAAAGAAACAAGTTTTGTTGTCTGGAGTTATAGATACTTAATTTCTTTTCATGAAAAATTATCTACCAGATTTTGTCATGTGTTCTTAGTATAATGAGGAAAAAATAACTTATACTTTAGAATTTTAAAAAATGAAAATTAAAAATATATTTCTTTGAAACCTAAGTTATGTTGAAAAGAATAAAATCTGATGGTATCATTTGGATAGGAGTTTACATGGAGGAAAATAATAAATGGAAACAAAAAGTTAGCAAAATTGCATTATAAATGGGTATATACTTTGTTGGAAGTTTAAAAAATTCTTAAAAGTTGGGCTGGAGCTGGTGAGATGGCTCAGCAGGTAAAAGCACTTGCCACCAAACCTAACAACCTGAGTTTGATCCCTGAAGCCCACATGGTAGAAGGAGAGAACAAATTCCCACAGATTTTCCTCTAATTTCCATATGCATGTCATGGCACACATGTACACATGCATATACACACATAAATAATGGATATATATTTATATATATGTATATACTAAAAATTGGGATAAGACGATAATTCAATCAAGGACCTGAGTTACATCCCCAGAACCCACATTAAAAAAATAAAAACAGAAAGGTACAGTGGCTTGTGTTTGTAATCCCTGCAAAGTGGAGTCAGAAACAAGCAGATCCCTGGTGCTCACTGGACATCCAGCCTATTCTACTTGGTGAGCTCCAAAAGCAAGGTGGACAGCTAGCTAGCTCCTGAAGAACAACACTTGAGGTTGTCCTCTGACATGCACACATGCACACACCAGTGTGCACACACACAGATGATCTCCAGCATGTTCATCCAAAGTAATATGTCTTTGTAAAATTGGTTGTTTTTCTTACAGAAACAGTTATAATGTTGATGATTTGGGTGATTAGATAATAGGTAGGTAGTAGGTAGTTGTTTCTACCTTAGAAAAGATTTTTAAATGATGAACTTTAAATGTGAAGGAAATTAAGCTTACAATTATGTTCTTAGGATCAAAGTTCTGATCGTACCAGTCTTTCTTCAGTGGGAGCCCAGGATTCTGAATCTACCTCTTTGACAGATGAAGATGTCTGCCATGAGTTGGAAGGAGCCAATTCCTCCCAAGAGAGCAGTGCCACTTCAGGGACCAAAGGAATTGATCTCAGCCAGACAAGCCTGGGAAGTTCTGCCTCCCTAGAAGGTTTGCCTAGTTTTGTACAGTACCTTTACTTTTTTCTTTATGATTTTCCAATTTTGTAAAATTTGCACGACTCAAAAAAAATACCCAAGGCACTTTCAGAGAAGTTTGGCTTCTGTCCCCACCCTTCACACTTTTTGCTTCTAATCCTAGAAGTAGAAGCAACCATTTTTATTCATTTTGGGTTTATCTTTCCACTTATAAATGCAAATATGTCTTTATATGTCTTTTTATTTCAAAACTCAAAAGGTAACATGCTCTAAACTCTTTCCCACCCATTGTTTTTTAAATTTGACAGACTATCCTAAAGGCCATCTTGCTTCATCACATATCAGTGTACCTCACTCATTTTCACATTCATCCTATGTGGCTGTATCATAGTTATTTGACCACTTCCCTGTTGATGGGCATCCAGTCTTCATAATGCTACAATGTCTATATGCCCTGTCATTTTTTAAATTTTTATTTATTTATTTTTACATGTAAGAGAGTTTTTCCTACATGTCTATAAGTATACTGCATGTGTGCCTGGTGCCTGCAGAGGCCAGAAAGCATCATGTCCACTAGAAATAAAGTTAAGCTGGCATGTGGGTGCTGGGAACTGAGCCAGGGTCTCTGCAAGAGCAGTCAGTGCTCTTAGCTGCTGAGCCATCTCTCCAGCCCCATATTTTTCACCTTTGGTTTGGAGGGGTTTTTTTGTTTGTTTGCTTTGTTTTGGGGGGTTTCGGGGGGATTGGGGGGTTGTTTGTTTGTTGTTTTTGAGACAAGGTATTTAACCCTGGCTGGCCTGAAACTCACTATGTAGACCACACCGGCCTCAAAATCACAGAGATCCACCCACCTCTGCCTCCCCAGTGCTGGCATTACAGGTGTGCATCCCCACACCTGCCCTCACCAGAGTAGCTTTAGAAAATGATTCAACATTTGTCCTTGATCTAATATTTCTAAGCTCCTGTCCACAGATACATACTATTTTGTATTCTCACTGGCATATGAGAATGCTGATTTCCCCACAGTCTTGTCAAAAAGACAAATATGGTAGAGCCAGTGAGGTGACTCAGTGAGTAAAGGCACTTGCCGCCAAGCCTGATGACTTGAGTTCAGTCCCTAGGACCCATGTGGTAGAAAGAGAGAACTGACTCCAGCAAGTTTTCCTCTGACCTCCACACATACATTGCAGCATGTTTGTACATGCACACATACACAAAAATACATTGACAAAATATGTTGGCAAACTTCTGGATTTTTGCTATTAGGTGAAGAACATGTTCTAGTTCAGTTTTCATGTCTATTTCTGTTATAAAAAATGAAGTTGGGAATGTGGTCTTTACTATGTTTATCCCCTTCAGTAGTTCGGTGAACAATAGCTTACACCATTCTTTTTTGCGTTAAAAATACTTTCTCATTATTGATTTGGTCTTTATTAACAACTTTTAACGTGCTGAGTAGAGCAAGTGCCCTTTATCAGATAATTTATGGAAGTAAAGAAATCTTATATTTCTGCTAATTAGTTTTAATGGTGTTGCTCTTTGTTTTTTCAATCAGGATCCCTGTCAAAGTTTGCCTTGCCTGGGAAATCAGAAATGGCATCTTCCCTCAACACCAGTAATACAAATATCTTCCAGAACTATGCAATGGAGGTACTGTTTGACCCAAAAGAGTACCTTTGAGTACTAGTTTTATAACATTTCTTAGGTATTGATGGTCCCTGAAGGAATAATAAAGTTAAATGTATGTCCTCTTGATGTTTCAGAAGGTATGTTACACCCAAGATTTTTTTTTCGCATTTTGTGTGTGTGTGTGTGTGTGTGTGTGTGTGTGTGTGTGTGTGTG